TAGTTATATTATTTTCATAAAAACATAAAAAATAGCAGCTTAATGTGCATGCATATTCTTTAAAATAAGTTAAAATGAAGAAGAATTAGTCATTTTAGTTTTTATTTAACGGATATGAAATTGATTATTTAAATATTAAAATCCAATTTTTAAACTTTAGAATCACGATAATTAAATAATCTAATATCATATAACATTAGGGAGCCTTGGCGCTTAAGTTTTGCTATGACCGTTAAATAGTACAAATTTTGCCTATATATCTTTCTCTCTCTTTCTTTTTTATTTTGTATGATTCTTTTTATTAATCTTTATATATATATTTTTCTCTTTCTTTTTTATGGTTGTTTTTATTAATAACCATGAATCATTAAGTTTAGAGCGTACGTTAGGAATCTATGAAAATTTTCTCACATCATATTTTTATTTAATTTGTCAAATGTAATTTTCTGGTTGTTTCGAATTAACTTTTTATATATGTGATCTTATTATTTTCCTATTTTATTAAATTCTATATAATATGTTAATTTAATAATTATAAAAAATATAGAAATAAATGGATATTAATTTCATTAATGGACATACATTTTAATTTTAAAATTCTCAAGCTAAAGCTAATTAGTTTTTTTGTTTATTTATTTAAATTTAAAAGATAAAAAATACATTTGAATTTTTATAATTCATTATTTTTCTTATTATCTTATAATCTCAAAGTTCTCAAATATTTAGACCTTTTTATTTAACTTTTTTTTTTACAATTAATTCATATAATACAAACATCTCACATCTAGTGATTTAAATAAAAATAATAATTTGGATGAGAGCGGTTTAGGATGGTAGAGAATGATTTAAATAAGAATACTAATTCGTGTGAGAACATGAAAACAACTCAATTTTTTCATATTGATATGAATACCATTTTTCTAACCGTATAAAAGTGATAAATTTTGGCAAGTTTTGTTGTATTTTTCTGAAAAAATAAAGCACTAATTTTAAAAACATTAACGCTACACTAAATTTTTAAATAATTTTTTTTATATTTCATAGTTATACATTGAAATTTATGCCACCTTTTAAAACATAAAAATGATAAACTTATTAGTTAATTTTTGGATTTATCCCTCATAACACGATGAGTTGTAGTTATATACCGACAACTTGTCGTCGGAAAACGTGTGAGCAATACCGACGACATGTCGTCTAGAAAGGGGAAAACCATTTTACAGTTGCAAAGTTGTACCGACGACAAGTCATCGGTATACATTTTTTTTTCACAACTTTTGTTATATATACCAAATCTGTTTCCTAAAACAAATATAAAAAATATATATATATATTTGCAGAATAATATAAATATAACATAACATAACATACCATTAAAATTGAAAACACTGAATAAACCTAACATACCATTCAAATTCTACTAAATATCATACCATTCATATTCCACTACATAACAAAAAAAAAAGCAAGTTTTTACCAAACATTGTTGTCTCTATCGTTCTAGTTCTCCTCCTCCTCATCATTATCATTATCATTATCATCATCACCTCCATTATCAACATCATCATCTTCCTCGTGTTCTTTGGATGTTTCAGGGTTATTTTGTGAAAACATAATGGGCTTAAACTAGAATTGTGGCATTGGTTGTAGTTGGAAGTTTGGAATGACAGACGAGAAAGTGTAATTAAACAATTGGTTCATTTGTAGCATGATTTGAATTTGTTGGGATAATACAGCAATTTGGGGATTATCCGAAGATTGGGATGTGGAAACTTGGGAACGTTTAGTATGTTCATTTGGAAATAAATTATTGTTAATACTTTGTTTCCTTCCAATTCCGCGAATATGCCCACGTCTCTCACCGAGGGAACAAGCGAGTCATTGTTCTTCATTTAACTTTTCATTCTCCCGAAGCTCTAACTGCATCAACATCTTCTCTCATTGAATGTTTTCCTAAAATAAAGAAAACAATTAAAATACATTAATTAAAAAAATAACTAAATTTATACACTAAAATAATAATAATAATAATAATAATAATAATAATAATAATATACCTTAAACTAACTATAATAATAATAATAACATATTTATCAAACAACTTATTAACTTTGTTTATTACTTACTCAAACTTCTTCTGCTTGCAGTGTACACTAACCCCAACTTTCTTTAAATCACATCTGTCTCCAAACATCTATATGTTGCGAGTCTTCTCCTTTTTCTATCTATAATAAGCCAAAAAAGATTAATATACTTACATAAGTGTTAAGAAAATTTTTATAAAATACAAATAAATTTAATTACCTCCTCACGTCATCCGCCTACATATGTTCTACTTCCATGAGAACTCGTAAATTGAAGTTTGGACCTGCTTTCTTTACATTCTTTGCACTGCTTCCTATAATTGTCATCCAAAAAAAGAAGATCAATCATATTATCCTAAGCTTTGTCGTCTATATAATTCGGTGGACATTGTCTTGCACCTTCAACATCATTATACCCACCAACACTATCAAAATAATTTTTCACTTCATGTTTGTGCTCTTTATAAACTCTTTGACAGTCGCTCTGTACAATCGCTCGAACGACTTCCCGCAGATCTGTACCCCGATACATATCAAGATTAAAATATGTTTGCAATAAAAAAACAAATTTAATTAGTAAAAAATATATTTAAAAAGTATAAAATTTTCACATATAAAAAGTATTTTGTACTTACTTCAATCTCAGTATACATAACTTCATAGTAATGGAAAGAAACACGTCTCCAAGTCCTATAATGGAGTGGCACATGATCTGCCACAAAGTTTGAGACAAACCTTGTTAACATTTTTCTATTTGTATTTATGAATTTATAGATCCCCCCTCTGTTATCAATATCCACACGTAAAGGTTGACCGTTGTGCTTGAACTTTTTTCGTATATTTAAGCATCTTCCTTTTCCACATCTACGCGTCGGGTTTGCTACATTGACACATACAACTAAAAATTTAGAAATTTCAAACTTTAAAAATATATCAAATATATTTATGAATTTCATGTAACTTACAAGATTGACAGTCCACCTGTATCTTGCATGCACGCTTATGTCGAGGTCGTTCCCCACCTTCTCCTCCATGCCCCCTCGCAACATGTATAGTCATCTGTTTAACAAATATTAAAACTAATTTAATTTGATTTTATATTTAATTTGATTTTGTTTTAAAATTAATATTAATTTGATTTTAAAACTAATTTATTTTGATTTTACAATTAACTTAATATTTTGTTTTTATTGTTTTTTTTTTTTTTTTTTGAAAATTAATTCTCCTTTACTTTATAATTATTTTATTATGACTAAAAGTATGTTGCTATTAATAACCTAATTAAGCTAAAGTCATAATGACCAACATTAAGTCACTAACAAAATTAAACACTTTGAAACCATATTAAGCACTTTACATTACAAACAATAGCATCTAAATACAAAACTATAACTTATCATTCAACAAAAGTATCATATAAGCATACATGTATACAATACATCCAATTCTAATTTTAATTTCATTTTAGACATACAATACAAATGTATACATCTAAATACAAAATCAAACATCATACAAAATCAAAATCAAACATACAATTCTAATTTTCATCCAATTTCATACAATCATACCTTAAAGCACCTTACATTTTAGACATCAAAATTCAATTTCATAAAAATATACACATCTAAATAACAAATCAAACGTCATTCTTAATTTCATTTTCATGTCAATATACCACATTGAGATAAACAAATTATGCCTTAGTTCATTTTCATTTTCATTCCAAAGAGGCGTGGTCGGAAATCGCCTTCAGTCGCCGGAGGTTGAGAGGAAAAACAAGGTGAGGTGTTACTGCGAAATGAAGGCTGCTAGGGATTTTGTTACAGGGAAACCTATACCGACGACATGTCGTCGGTATAGGTAAGCGAAATGACGTCGTCCCACTTTTACCTCATTAAAAAAAAAAAAAAAAAAGAAATAGTTTTCACATGGATCGGTCCCATTTTTTTTCCGACGACAAGTCATCGATATAGGTGGACGAAAACTACATTGTTTTGTTTTTCTACGACACGGATTAAAAATAATTCGAAATTATTTTTCGCGCGGATCGATCCCATTTTTTTCCGACGACAAGTCGGTATAGGTGGAAGAAAACGACATCGTTTCATTTTTGTACGACACTGGTTAAAAATAATTCAAAATTATTTTATTAACATACTATACCGATGACATGTCGTCGGCATAGGTAAACGAAAACGACGCCGTCTTCCTTTTCTGCAACAAGAAATATAAATAAATCGAAAATATTTTTTTCATATCTTATAACGATGACATCCCGTCTGCATAGATATTGGACACACCGCCAATTTTTTCAACTTCCCGCCTAGTCTATAACGACGACTTGTTGTCGGGATAGGCTTTCTAGTCAAAGAAATTTGGTCAAAGTTGAAACACGTTTTACCGACGACATGTCGTCGGGATAAGTGTCGTTTGGATACGTGTAAATCCTTGTAGTGATACAAAACATATATCAAAAAAAGAAAAATAAAAAATAAAAAATATAGACATAGAAAAGGGAGAATTAAAAACCATTTAATAAATCGATATGATCAATATCCCATGATCATGTAATCAAAACCCTACCAATCTTCAAGGACAAGAAAGAATCAATACATGCATAATCAATCTGTTCCGGCGACAGTCATTGGTTGCCCCACTTACTCAACGTCACACGCTTCGGCTTCACAGGTTCCACGCTCAGCAACATCTTCGCCAACGACTTCAACCCTACTCCATTAATGGTGTTACCATTCATCGGCGCCACAGCCACACCACGTCCGTCACATTCGCTGCTAATATCGTCCCATCATCCGCACGCCCCAGCCCATAATTCCGCACCAGCATCTCGACATCTGTATGGATGCCGACACCAGTGAAGGTGTAACTAGGGTTGTTCAAGAAATTGATAAGCGATTAAGGCATGTATGGTGCGTGGATGGTTTGAAAGATGAGACAACGATGGCCGACGCATAACTGTAAGATGGCGATGCGGTTTTCACCTCCTCGCCGGAAGGAAGCGCGCCACTCTGTGTCTAAACCGATTATTAGATGGTGTTCGTTGATATCCTCGGTGCCTTTAGAGATCCATGTAGTGACATAGTGAGGGTCTTTGGTTGCAGCGTTGAAGATGTTGTGTTCGTAGAAGGAAGCGCGCCACTCTGTGTCTAAACCGATTATTAGATGGTGGTCGTTGATATTCTCGGTGCCTTTAGAGATCCATGCAGTGACATAGTGAGGGTCTTTGGTTGCGGCGTTGAAGATGTTGTGTTCGTAGAAGGAGACGTTCTTTATGTGGGTAGTGTGCTACCACCGCCGTTGCCTTTTGTTAATCACCATGGTTCTCTGCGAGAGAGAGAGAGAGAGAGAGAGAGAGAGAGAGAGAGAGAGAGAGAGAGAGAGAGAGAGAGAGAGACTACGTGCATTGGTGCCATTGAAAGAAGGAATATATATATATATATATATATATATATATATATATATATATATATATATATATATATATATCCTAGAAAACAATAAGGAAACATAATATAAAAGAGATAACAACCAAGATATAAAGAAAAAAAATCTGATAGATAAAAAATGTTTTAATATGGGCATGTTCGGCAAAAAGTAGCGGATAATGGATAACTGGTAGCGTTTGATTTTGGAGCTTTTTATTGAAAGCTACTCCATGTAGCTTTTCATTTTGGAGAGGTTGATTTTGGAGTGCTTTTTATTGAAAGTTAAACATGTATATGTAGAAAAGTTTCTTGTGATTTGAAAGACTATATATCATCTATAACTTTAACTAATAGTTATATTATATTATAAAAACATAAATAATAGCAGATTAATGTGCATGAATATTCTTTAAAATAAGTTAAAATGAAGAAGAATAAGACATTTTAGTTTTTATTTAACGGATACGAAATTGATTATTTAAATATTGAAATCCAATTTTTAAACTTAGAATCACAATAATTAAATAATCGAATATCATAACAACATTAGGGAGCCTTGGCACTTAACTTTTGTTATGGACTTGGCATGGTAAAAAGTACAAATTTTGCATATATATATATATATATATATATATATATATATATATATATATATATATATATATATATATATATATATATATATATATTTTATTTTTTATAATTCTTTTTATTAATCTTTTATATATCTTTCTCTCTCTTTCTTTTTTATGGTTGTTTTTATTAATAACCATGAATCATTAAGTTTAGAGCTTAGGTTAAGAATCTATGAAATTTATTTTTATTGTATGTCATATTTTTATTTAATTTGTCAAATGTTATTTCATGGTTGTTTCGAATTAAATTTTTATATATGTGATTTTATAATTTTCCTATTTTATTAAATTTTGTATAATATGTTAATATAATAATTACAATAAATGTAAAAATAAATGTATATTAATTTCATTAATGGACATACATTTTAATGTCAAAATTCTCAAATTAAAGCTAATTAGTTTTTTTTTTTGGTTTATTTATTTAAATTTAAAAGATAAAAAATACATTTGAAATTTTATAATTCATTATTTTTCATATTATCTTATAAAGTCAAAGTTCTCAAATATTTAGACCTGTATAACTTTTATTTTAAATTAACTCATGTAATACAAACGTCTCACAACTATTGATTTAAATAAAAATGATAATGTGGATGAGAACGGTTTAGGATGGTAGAGAATGGTTTAGATGAGAATGCTAATTCGTGTGAGAACATGAACGCAACTCAACTTTTTCATATTGATATGAATACCATTTTTTTAACTGTATAAAAATGATATATTTTGGCATGGTTTGTTGTATTTTTTTGAAAAAATATAGCACTAATTTTAAAAACATTAACGCTACACTAAATTTTAAAATAATATATTTATATTTCATAGTTATATATCATATATATCAAAATGTATACCACCTTTTAGAACATAAAGATGATAAACATATTAGTTAATTTTTGTATTTTACCCTCCTAACACGATGAGTTGTAGGAGGTCGATCCTTGTGCAAGAAAGAAGTCTAAAAAGTTGCCTAGGATTCTAGCAAAAATAGAGGCGCCTCAAGCCGATTTGAGGTCCAGATAAAATAAACAAAATAGGCCTTTTTATCTCACTGCTAAGACTTAATACCGAAAAAAATCTATTTTTTCCAAAATAATATAAGTAGATACATAGAATGGGTCCTGAATATTTGGAAGCTCCATGCTGCCACACCCGATACGACCCTTACAATAAGGATTTATATATGGAAATTAGAGATCAATCTAGGATTCTAATTAGATAGCTTTTATATATATATATATATATATATATATATATATATATATATATATATATATATATTATATATATATATATATATATATATATATATATATATATATATATATATATATATATATATATATATATATATATACCTGTTTCTGGTATTATGACGTCGGACAAAAAGATACAGAGGATTTGATTGTAACGAAGTTTTGAGCTATTTTCTTGGTTATAATAAGATTTATTTTCGTATTTTCCGTGTTCATACTTTCATGTTTTACCAATTACTTTCAACAATTGGCATCAAAGCGCTAACGTAAGAGGGAATGTTAGCCGATCATTATAGGCACGGGAGACAACAATTTGGGACTGTCGAGTATGAAAGGCTCGTCATTCTCGTTCAATGTTTTGACGTTGTCTGCAACAAATTACACTGGATGGGAAATTCTAATGAAGGTGATCTTAAAAGTACATCAAGTTTGGGATATCGCCGACCGAGGAGAGAATGAACTAAAGAAGAATAACATCGATATAGCAGTTCTCTTCCAAGCGATTCCCGAAGACCTTATTTTGCAAAGTCGAAAATGTCGTCGGTATAAATCCGTCGGTAAAAGTCGAAAATGTAGTCGGGACAAAAGTCGTCGGTATAGAATAACCAATCTAGATGACAAGTCGTCGACAAAGGATCGTCGGGAAATGTGTGAGCAGTACCAACGACATGTCGTCTGGAAGGGGGAAAACCGTTTTAACAGTTGCAAAGCTGTAGCTACGAAAATTCGTCGGTATAGCCTTTTTTTTCACAGCTTTTGTTATATATACCAAATCTATTTCTTAAAACAAATACAAATATATATATATATATATATATATATATTTGCAGAATAATATAAATATAACATAACATAACATACCATTCAAATCGAAAGACACTTAATAAACCTAACATGCCATTCAAATTCTACTAAATACCATACCATTCGTATTCTACTACATAACAAAAAAAGCAAGTTTTTACCAAACATTGTTGTCACTATCGTTCTAGTTCTCCTCCTCCTACTCATCATCATCATCATCACCACCACCACCATGATCAACATCATCATCATCATCATCCTTGTGTTTATTGGATGTTTCGGGGTTATTTTGTAAAAACATATTGGGATTAAACTAGAATTGTGGCATTGGTTGTGGTTGGAAGTTTGGAATGATGAACACGAAAGTGTTATTAAACATTTGGTTCATTTGTAGCATTTGTTGTTGCATGATTCAAATTTGTTGGGATAATACGACAACTTGGGGATTATCCGAAGATTGGGATGTGGAAGCTTGGGAACGTTTAGTATGTTCATTTGGAAATAAATTATTGTTGATGCTTGGTTTCCTTCCAATTCCGCGAATATACCTACGTCTCTCACTGAGGGCATGAGCGACACATTGATCTTCATTTAACTTTTCGTTCTCCCAAAGCTCTGACTGCATCAACATCTTCTCTTGTTGAATGTTTTCCTAAAATAAAGAAAACAATAAAAATACATTAAATAAAAAATAACTAAATTTATACACTAAAATAATAATAATAATAATAATAATAATAATAATAATAATAATAATAATAATAATAATAACATATTTATCAAACAACTTATTAACTTTGTTTATCACTTACTCAAACTAGTTCTGCTTGCGGTGTACACCAATCCCGACTTTCTTTAAATCGCATCTGTCTCCAACAATCGATATGTTGCATGTCTTCTGCTTTTTCTGCTTTTTCTGCATATGTTCTACTTACATGAGAACTCGTAAATTGAAGTTTGGACCTTCTTTCTTTACATTCTTTGCACTGCTTCCTATAACCCTCATCCAAAAAAAGAAGATCAATCATATTATCCCAAGCTTCGTCGTCTATATCAACTAGAGGACATTGTCTTGCACCTTCAACATCATTATACCCACCAACATTATCAAAATAATTTTTCACTTCATGTTTGTGCTCTTTATAAGCTCTTTGGCAGTCGTTCTGTACTGTCGCTCGAACGGATTCACACAAATCTATACCCCGATACATATCAAGATTAAAATATGTCTGCAATAAAAAAACAAATTTAGTTAGTAAAAAAAAATATTTAGAAAGTATAAATTTTTCACGTATAAAAAGTATTTTGTACTTACTTCAGTCTCAGGATACATAGCTTCATAGTAATGGAAAGGAACAAGTCTCCAAGTCCTATAATGGAGTGGTACATGATCTGCCACAAAGTTTGAGATAAACCTTGTCAACATTTGCCATTTGTATTTATGAATCGATAGGTCCCCCCTCTGATATCAATATCCACAGGTAAAGGTTGACCGTTGTGCTTGTACTTTTTTTGCATATTTAAATATCTTCCTTTTCCATGTCTGCGCATCGGGTTTGCTACATTAACACATAGAACTAAAAATTTAGAAATTTAAAACTTAACAAATATATCCAATATATTTATGAATTTCATGTAACTTACAAGATTGACAGCCAGGGCCGGCTCAACCAGTTTGGGGGCTCTAAGCGATCAAAAAATTTGGGGCCCTTTAACAAATAACAAAATTTTAACTTCATATTGTATATCAAACAAATTTATCTTCATCAAAATAATTGTACTCTATTTGGTGTAGTGCATCAAACAATTTTAACTTCATCAAAATAACAAAAATTAACATAGGCCATGAGATGTCTTGGATGACCTTTTTAGATATAGATTACTAACAAACAAATTGAAGGAATATTGCAGAGATATGATAATAGAATAATGATAACCGTGCAGATTGAAAATTAAACTAATAGATAAGCTTAAATAACTTTTTTTTTCCTTAGGGTTGAATTGTGACAAAAAAAAAAGATAAAAAACAAAGACCTCTTTTGTGAAATTATTATAAAAATGAAATTGGAAACTGAGTTACAATGGACATGATTAGGAATTAATCCCTAGTCGTAAGTTTGGCTAAAATCAATAAGAAAAAAGGGGTTCCGGCAGGTCAAAAACGGGTTAAGCAGAAGTGCAGAACCACCCGGTCCAGGCTATATCACAAACCACAATCATAGATAATCCGAGGAAAAGTCGAAGAAGAACAAGAATGGAAGAACTTAGTTTTCAAAATTTAGGAATCACCAAA